GCGCCGCGGCCGCGGGGACCCCGCGCAGGGCGGACGGGGCCGTCGGGGCTCTGCCCGGGCAGCCCGCGGCGCTCCGGGACAGCGCACGCCGCTGCCGCCCGCCCGCTCTCAGCGGCCGGGGAATGACGGGGAGAATTTTAAGGAGAATTGAGGGGATGGGAATGCGCAAGGCGAAAGCGCCGCACCCGTGTTTTCCTTAACCCCCTGCCCCGAGACTTTCTCCCTCCTTCGCCCGTCTCGCCGTGGCTGGGCGCTCCTCGGAGGATTGGGGTGAGTAGGGCAGAGCGCATCCCGGCCCGCTCCTCCCGCCGGCACCGCTCCCTGTAAATCCCCACCGACCCCCCTGCTGGAAGGCAGCGTCCCCTCGGAGCGTGTGCCAGGGAGCACTGCTGGCTCCTCTGCCCATCCTCTTTCCGCTTCCTTCCCCGGCCAAAATCAAGCCAGTTGCACTGCCCCGGCTTTCCTGGAAGATTTTCCTTCTCAAGTCGTTTAAGCTTAAGGCTGATTTCAAGCTTAAGGCTGGGGCTTCGGTTATATTTATATTAATAGAAGGGGAATGGGAAAAAAGAAAAGAAGAAAGACTAGGCTGTCACCACCCATGGACATTACCTGGGGTGACACTGCTAAAAGTTGTGGACAAGGCTCAGCACAATGAGTTTCTAAGGCATGCTCCAGGCACATGAAAGCTATGGAAATGGATCTAGTGCAGGAAACAGATCGACTTATACAGGGGCACAACACATCACTTACCTCTCACGGAAAGCTTTAACCCAGAAGGGGGTTCCTCTCAGGAGGCTTTTAGCAGCTGGTGGAAAGCATCCCAGCTACTGGAAAGCATCCATCATATCAAGGCATCCCGGCGCCCAGAAAAGCACTGAGTGCACCGGCAAGGGAAGTCCCTTAACTCGTACGTACTAGTTGCACGAGGCTTTTAGCAGCTGGTGGAAAGCATCCCAGCTACTGGAAAGCATCCATCATATCAAGGCATCCCGGCGCCCAGAAAAGCACTGAGAGCACCGGCAAGGTGAAGTCTCTTAACTCGTACCTACTAGTTGCATTGGCAGAGTAACCTCCACACCTGAATCACGAGAACTCTAATAACAAGCTCCAAAAAATGGCAATTACATTCAGCTGTGACTAGGAAGCACCTTAAGATTGCACACCTGATGCTTTTTATGCACAGAATTAAAGTAGAAAAACAGTAGCATGACTGTGGAAGGTGCAAATATTTCCACTGAAACGCATCTGCTCCTCATTTGGGAATTTCACCTAACAGCTGGATTTGCCTGTTTGTCATCTTAATAATTTTTCATCTCCCATCTCTGTACAACGGGATGACCATAAACCACCGCTAACATACAAAAACGCAGCTCAAGATTAAGAGTGATTTTAAATGTACTTTTCCAGAAGCAACCCAAAGCTATGCCAGAGGTCTTTAGAGCAATCATCACACTCATACTGAGGCATGCACCTGTGTAACCTCACATATTATACCAATTTTCCCAGCTTCAGCTGGGAATAGCAGAGCTTGTCTCGGGAATGAATGGGACAGGAAGATCTGAGGCAGGTAAAGCTGTACCTGCACACACAGTGGAGGGTTGAGAGGGAACTCGTGCTACAGGACCCCCTTACAGCCCCATGCAGCTCTACTTTATATTCCAGCCCAGAGTAAGCTCTAGGTCAGTGGTGTAAAGATGAAAGTTGCTGAGGATCTTTCCCTAGAATCTCAGTGATAGAAAAGCCCTTGCTGAAACATGATGACTGCAAACCCCTATCAGCACACCACAGTGCTTTTATTTTCTCACTGGCAATGTCCCATTCTGACAGCACATGCTGGAATTCAACAGAGCATGTATAGGCTTTCTATTGTAACACTGCAATTATTCCATCAGTTTATTTTTGTATCATACACCCGACCCCTCAAATAAAAAAATAAGCCCACCAGCAAAGCACAAAGTCCCTGACCAAACTATTGTGCTACAAACATATACTGAGTAAAATAAAAATAAAAACAAGCAAATAAAAAGATACAAATAAAACCAAACAAAAATATCAAAAAACAACCCTGAAGGTTAGAATAAATAAACAAAGTTGTCTTTGACCTGGAGAGTGGCCCACACTGCAAATAAATGTATTACCACTTAGCCACATATACATGCCACATGAACAGAAATAAAAGGTATACTCAAGATAGGGCAATGATTTTGTATTTTATATTGCTACCACTGTGCACTTATAAATTGCATTGGTTTCAAGATGTTCTTTTGGATTTGTGACAATATGGCCTAATCTTGCAGGCTCATGTCACTGTCAGTTGTTTCACCCAGAAGCTCAAGTCCTGTGCATGTGAAGTGCTTGCTTCGTATGAAGAGACTCAAAATGATGATGCTAGAAAGGATTAACAGTGTAGAAAATACCAAGACAAGAGGTTAAAATGTCTGCAAAGATATTTTGGGGTATGGAGTTATTTAAAGCTGCCCAATTTTATTTGGAGCTTGTAAATATCATGGCATATCCCACACCATGTCCTCTCTCCTCTCCTCTTCGGGCACTTCACATTTTCTTACCCAAATATGCAATAGTAACTTCTTGCAACAAAGTTGACTAAGAAGAAAATCACTGTATAAATCTTTCAAAACATGTTTAAATATAGCTTAGTAAACCGGGAATGTTGGGCAGAAACTGCTGAAAGCACTCATACTGGTAAAACTGAAATGCGACATGATCTCAACGTATTCGAACATTCAATTATATGAAACGTTTTTCCAGGGCAATATCAGATTTAAGACTGAAGTGAAGTAAATGTGATTGGACTGTTTTGGAATCTTCCTAAGACAAATGACTGAAAGATCAAGGTGTTTTATTTCCTATTTGGATCAATGATCAATAAGCCTTATATATGAGAATCACACATTTTGAATAGAAAACACATTTTTTTAATAAGTGCAAGTTAGACTGAATAAAATTACTATGTTTAGAGAGGAAAGCTCACTATTTTTTAAGTCATCATATATAATCTATATAATTATGAAGTAACTTGAATAAGGCATCTTACATTGGTCCTAAATTTTTTACTCAAGAAAACACTCATTGATTCCAATGTGAGTGTTGCCTGAGTAATAGAGTTCCCTGTCAAACTGTTAAAATCAGCTAACTTCTAAAAGCCTGTAGATTGATGGAATAACGTGATTATACTAAAGGTATGTATTTAATATGGAAAAAAAAATTCAAGTTACCAGGCAAAGCCTTTTCACATTTCCCAT